TAACCATTTCACACACCCTAATTAATATGGAAAATGATACTTGAACAACTATTTTTGACAACATTTAGACACGCGCACACGTGTCAAAATCTGAGTGGTCCATTTTCATTTAATTTTTCCAACTGGACCACTCAGATTTTGACACGTGTGCGCGTGTCTAAATGTTGTCAAAAATGGTTGTTCAAGTGTCATTTTCCAATTAATATATTTCTAAGAAAAAAACCTCAATGAAAACAAGTTGTGTTGTTGAAATTAGGTCGGCGTTAGAGGAGTATCCACAAATTCAAATTTTATTGTGATGTTTCTCTAGGGTTGAGGATTATAACGACAACAAATGGCATGCCACTTTTAAAAACAACACTTTTGTTTTGGTGCTAACAAAAGTACTCTCTTTGATCCTTTTCTTTAGCATCATTAACGTTTCCCTCTCATCCTCTCTCTCTCTCTCTCTCGTTACTATACGGTTGTACCATTCAAATTAAAGGATTGTGCGAAACTGCAGAGTGAACTGCAGTAGAGGGGGTAACTAATCCTCAGATCGACGGAAAAAGAGGTACCCTTTTCTCATGTATAAGGTTTTTGCTTCGCACTTTGCGGTTTCTTAAATTTGTCTTCCTCCCCATCTTTGTTTATACTGTTCCCATTTCCTCGCGCTTTCTCCAATGGCTTTCAAAGTTGTGTTTAAAGTTTGTAGCTTTGCATAGTGTCAGATCTGTCGCATTCTAGCTTAAAGTTGAGATTTTTATTCGGATGGATTTGATTTGTGGGTGAAATGGATCAAACCAAACTGTTTGTCGGTTATTTATTGCTGTCGACGGTTTTGTGGGCGTTCTCTTCTCTTCAGGAAACACCCCTCTACACACATTCGTGACACGTTTTGATAAGTTTCCACTATAAACTCTAACTGTTTTCATTTTTTCATCATGTTTTCAATGTTTAATCAGTTTCATTAATAGTTTATGATTGGAATGGAAAGAAAGTGTCCTACTTTGTTTTTGCAATCAATGTTGCGTTTTTATGGTATTCGTCACAGCAATTATTTCACGGAGGGAATTTCTTGTGTCTGTGCTCCTATTACTGACCCGTCCAGCGAAAGATTTTTCTTATCCATTCAAAACTTTAATTTGTGTTAAGTTGTCCTCAACAGTTGGGGGGTATGGGGCCTTCAATAATGACGACAAGATTAACTACTAACTTAACTGCCGTATCTCTTGAAATGTATTTTCAGTTTGACATCTTCAGTCTTTTATTCTGTTCGAAGGGCTGATACCATACTGGGGATAAGCATCCCCATTAAAAATTGTTTTCTCGAACTAGTTGGGATGAACTAATTTCTGTTCTTGTTATGTATCCTCGAATGTTCCATTACATACTTACACTAGTTGTTCTTGTAGGTATCATTGACATGGAGCCTGATTCACAGCAGAGATCATTTTCAATCAAATTATGGCCTCCTAGTCAGAACACTAGACAGACACTTGTGGAGAGGATGACCAACAATCTGACTACTAAATCTCTTTTCACACAGAAGTATGGAACTTTGGACAGGGAAGAGGCTGAAGAGAATGCAAAGAGGATTGAAGATGTGGCTTTTGCAACAGCAAACCTGCACTATGAGAAAGAGCCAGATGGTGATGGAGGTTCTGCGGTTCAGCTTTATGCCAAAGAATGTAGTAAGCTCCTCCTTGATGTTCTCAAAAGAGGACCTGGTAGAAAGGAGGATGAAGTGGTGACATCTTCTCACACCACTACGCCTCATGAATCTGTTTTTGATATATCTAAAGGCAAACGGGCATTCATTGAAGCAGACGAGGCACATGAACTTTTAAGTCCATTAAAGGATCCAGGGAATTCTTTCACCAAAATATGTTTTAGCAACAGAAGCTTTGGGATAGGAGCAGCACAAGTTGCCGAGCCCATTCTCACTTCCCTCAAGGACCAGCTTAGGGAAGTGGATCTATCAGATTTCATTGCTGGAAGACCAGAAGCGGAAGCTCTTGATGTTATGAAAATGTTCTCTTCGGCCCTTGAAGGCAGTGTCTTGAAGTCCTTAAACCTCTCGGACAATGCATTAGGTGAAAAAGGTGTTAGAGCATTTGGAGCACTTTTGAAATCCCAGAAATGCTTGGAGGAGCTTTATCTGATGAATGATGGTATCTCAAAGGAAGCTGCTGGAGCAGTTTGTGAGTTGATTCCTTTCACAGAGAAACTCAAAGTTCTCCATTTTCATAATAACATGACTGGCGATGAAGGGGCACTAGCTATAGCCGAGGTTGTGAAGCGTTCTCCTTCATTGGAGGATTTTCGTTGTTCCTCCACTAGGATAGGCACTGAGGGTGGAGTTGCCTTGTGTGATGCTTTAGGGAATTGTACCCATCTGAAGAAGCTTGATCTACGAGACAACATGTTAGGCACTGAAGGTGGGGTTTCTCTTAGTAAAGCTCTTTCCAAGCACACAGAGCTAAGAGAGGTATACCTGAGCTACCTAAATTTGGCAGATGATGGTGCAATTGCTATAGTCGATGCTCTTAAGGAGTCAGCACCTCAACTTGAAGTTTTAGAGTTGAGTGGGAATGACATTACAGCTGATGCTGCTCCTGCAATTGCAGCCTGCATTGCAGCAAAGCAGTTTCTGTCTAAGTTGAACCTCTCTGAGAATGAACTCAAGGATGAAGGTGCCAACCTGATAAGTAAAGCCATAGAAGGTCATGGTCAGTTAAAGGAAGTTGATATAAGTGCCAACCAAATAACCAGAAATGGAGCTCGTCAATTGGCTGTGACTGTGGTGCAAAAGGATGATTTCAAACATCTGAATATTAATGGCAATTTCATTTCCGAAGAAGGCATTGAGGAGTTGACGGATATATTTAAGAGTTCTCCTGACGTGCTGGGTCCATTAGACGAAAATGACCCCGATGGAGAAGACATCGACGAAGAATCTGAAGAAGGTGATGCAGATGAACTGGAATCCAAAATGAAGAACCTTGTGGTTGATTGAACTGAAGCAGTTGAAGTACTTTCATGTTATGCTGCTCAAGCAACTCTTATGTAACTTCAAGTTCATCAATTGCCAGCAGACAATCATCGACGGGACATAAAATGTCTGCAACATGTAGCGAAACCTTGTTTTTTTTTTAGTTTCATTTCATTAAGGTAGATTTTATCATTTTCAGTTGCTTCCCAGCAGTCATTAGTGTAATGACATCTTGTATTCTTCGATGATGTGTTATTTTGTTTTACATATGATTCTGCTTTTGATGAGATGTTCAACTACTAGCTGTTTATGGGAGCCAATTCACCTTTCCCTTTTTGAACACAACTCTATTATCAAAATACTAGCTTAAATTTATGGACAAATGAGATTTTTTTCTTTATTAAAGTCTTAAAAATTATTTACCCAATGAACATCGAACAACTTCAATTCCCGAAATAGACTCTATTATAGCAGCATTCTAAGATTTTTTTTTTCTTTAAATAACATAATATTTTAAAATTTATTTATTCGAATGGATTGTGGTCAATTTATTTTCTGGAATAGACCTTGTGCTGTAGTAATAGAAAATTTGGTTCTAAAGGAGCTGAAAATTTCCATCTGGATTTGTGAATTTTTTGTTTTCGTTCTGTTAGAGGATTGGAAAGGAGCATGCACTATGATGTTTTCCATGGCTGAATTAAATTCAGTTTTCCAATGACCAAAATTTGGGAGGGGTTTCTGTTTATATTTTATTTGTTTTCTAGTAGGGGAGGGTGAAGATAAGTGGGACAAATTAAATTAAAAAGCTTGATTAAAGTCAGGAAAAATAAATTTTAATTAGTTTGTGGGAGAAAAGAAATTTAAAAATGATGTAAGTTGGAATATAATTTTGTTTTATAAAAAAATTAAATATTTTAAAATTTAAAAATTGAAGAAAATCGTAAGACTCTGTGAATGTTTATTGTTATTATTATTATAATTAGTGAATTGAAGTTTTGAAAGGATTTTAAAAAATTAAAAAATGTAGTAACACATGAAAATTGAATAAAATTATAGTGTAATTTTTATATTTATATACAAAATGATTATGCCCGAATAAAATTTTAAATAATTAATTATAAATGTGTGGATGAAGATGTAATTGATTTGAGAGAAGGAAGTAAATAAAATTAATTTAAGGGTAAAAAGTTAATATAATATGGAAAGTTGCGAAGATGTCGTCTTTCTTTAGTCCCAAATGTTTTATTTTTCATTTCTTGCGCGCGCGCGCGTGTATATATATATATATATATATATATATATATAACATAATATAATGTGAAAGCAATATAAAATAAAACTGATTCTTAAAATGCATCCTCCTCTCATATGTTATTTTTTAAAAATGATCATTTTCGTTTTCTTTTTCACTTTCTCTACCCATGGAAGAAATATAATTTTTAATCTTTTTCAATTTTTTTGTTCTCTTCTCACTTTTTAATTATTTTTACCTTGCAACCAAAGAAAGGTGATTATATAATTTCATACTATTTTTTTTTTTTAAATTGTCCACTTAAACTTATGCGCTTAAAGCGGGATAGAAAAATATCAATAATAAGAAAAAAAAAATCAATGAAAATATATGAATGTTCAAAAGTCAAATTTGCTGAAGTTTAATATTATATTGAAACTATTAATAATGCTAAAGCTAGTCTTTAGATGGAAGAGATGGATCAAAAGTTTCTAAATTAAGAAGTATACCTTGCAAATATAACAAATTTTGGCTTTGTAAATTAATTTATTACATTGTTCATACTGCCAATCTATCAATCATTATAGTTTTCCAAGTTAGAAATAAATTTAATAAACTGTTTTTGGTTCTGCATTGAAACTGCCAAACACGTGTAAAATTATGAAACTATATTTCGTGAAGCAAAACCAAACATGCATGTAGATCCAATTTGTAATCATACAATTATGACATCTGCTTAAACTATTTTCTCAAGGAAAAACAGTGTAATTCAAGCATCCACCTAAAAATAGAATATAACTTAGCCTCGAATATTTTCTTTCATTAACTTTTTTAGCTAAATATGGATGTTGCATACATAATAGAAAAATCTGGCCTAATACACGAAAGTTCCTTGTCTTTTTTGCCCTAAGATCTTCTCGCAGAATCACAATCAATAGTTGTGCAAAATTCTGGCACCCATAGGCAATGACTAATTAAACTCAAATCAGTTCCAGTTTGCTCTTCCATTGGAAGAATGCCCTCTGGCATCAGATAATGAACCCTGGCCCAGAAAACTTGACCTCTTCTTTTTGTGAGTATTCCATGATAACACATGGTGGTTCAAACCACTTCCAACATCCTCGTATGTATGTTTCAGGAAATTCGTTCCTTCAGATTTGAATCTCTTTGAAGAAGGGGTCACATGGAAACTATCTTCACTCGTGCGATCGTTTGTCATAGGAACACTTTCAGTCCTCAACTCTAAACTTTCTTCTGCTACTGTGTTATCGCTGGCTTGAGCAATGCTGTCAGATGAGTGGTGGTCTCTTCTTTTTCCTTTAGCTGAAAACTTTGATATGTCTTCTCCGTTCTCCACAGCCTTCATCCATTGCAGATCACTCAACGTATCTGCGTATACCACTTCTTTTCTTTTCCGTTTTCCAGTGACAGCACTGTTGAAATCTTTGGACTTATCATCCTTGTTAATTGGAGAATATACCCAATCTGGCAATTCGTGTTCTTCCATGAGACGGGATCTGTAATTTTCCTTTTGTCTTCTCTCTTCATCCATTTTCTCAAACAGCCAAAACTCCTCGTCAGATCGGGCAGCAAGACGGTTAATTTCTCTCTCACTCGGCACATCTGTCCCAAGTGAGCTTGTACCTCTGCGCATAATCTCTTCTAACATTTCTCTTCTGTCCTGGGCTGCACACACAAAAATACTAGTGGTTCAAATTATCTTCATCATTTAGCAATACGACCTAAGGAGCACGAATATGGTAAACACAATTGCATGGAATAATTAACTGATTCCAATTGAAATTTTAAATCTTTTAACTTTTGACATGTAATAAATTGGATTTTCAAGTAAATAGAATCCAAGATTAAGGACTACTTATCCATGTAATCAGTTCATAGCTCGTGACAGTTAAGAACATAAATGCATACTTATATACACGAAGAATTGCTAGATGAAGGTTATAAAGAATAGGAAGCAAATTGCTGGCATAAATGTATTACGTGTTCTGAACCAGTGAAAGAAAAAATCTCCCCTTCTCATCGCCCTTTAGGCAAAAGTATCACAAACTACAAACCTGTCGAAGTTGTGTTGAAAAGTCCTGCTTGGATAACTTTGGCATCAATGCCCATTTTTTGTTTTGCACGCTCTAGAATCACCTCTTCAATTGATCCTACACTAACCAAAACAAAAACCCTAACTTCCTTTTTCTGTCCAATGCGATGTGCTCGGTCCTCGGCTTGTTGATCCATTTGTGGATTCCAATCGCTATCAAAGATTATAACAGTATCTGCTGTTTGCAAGTTCAAACCAAGACCTCCAGCACGGGTGCTCAAGAGAAACATAAAGTATGGGGAGTCAGGAGCATTAAATTTCCTTAGAAGATTGCCTCTTTCCTCAGTTTTTGTTGAACCATCAAGTCTAAGATACTTAAAATCATGAAGTCGTAAATAGATTTCAAGAATGTCCATAAGTCGAGTCATTTGTGAGAAAAGGAGGACTCTGTGACCAGCTCTGCGAAGTTTTGGGAGCAAACGGTCAAGAAGTTCAAACTTACCTGATGCTCTAACAATCTCCTCCTTACGTTTATACATATCATATTCTCCCACGAATAGGTAGGGATGGTTACAACACTTTCTGAGTTGCATTGTTAAATTTTGTAGACTTTTTGACTTTCCAGAACCTGTAAAATATAAATATTTGGGGAAAATTTGTTAGGAAGTTCTAAGAAACCAGACAATCGTACAGGGATGTGAAACAAGTGATGTTAAAAGTCTGGGTACTATTTTTTAGTAAGAGGGAAGACAAGACACCAATAATAGGTCATTGAAAGCCATATTTATCTTGAAGTAGAAAATGGTCATATTTCACATATTCATAACAAAGTTGAAATTGGTAAAACATATTAATAAGGAAAATATATGGAACTGGGGGGAATAGGCTCATAACTTACTTCCCAAAAGATGGGTTAAACTTATTTCACAAGCATGTTGAAGATAAAACTAAATTCATAGTTTGAGAACCACCAATGGAGGCAACAACAGTGCAAGAGGGGAACATGATGAATACCTTTAGCATATCAATATGAAAACCAAAGAAAGTATGAGAAAAAATGTATGCTTTTACGTGGCTAAAAGAAGTGAAACAGGGAATAACTGGAAGACAAGAAATAGACACGAACCGTTGTCCAACCCAACTCTGCCTACATCTGTAACTTGTTGATAATATACTTTCTGCCAGGCTGACATATCACATTTGAGTATGACCTGAGATTTCCCAGGAAGAAATTTTTCCACCTCATCTTTTTTCCTTCTTAATATGAAGGGCCTTATTACCTAAAGATGGAATGAAACACATCAGAGAAGAGGGGAAAAGAGTACAAGTATAGGAAACTAGAAGAGAGAAACACACTTGATGCAGGCGCCGGATGATCAATAGTTGTTCCTCATCGGTGAGGGAGACATCAACTCGGTCTGCAAAGGGGGCATTAAACCAGTCCTCGAAATTTTGAACCGAGTTAAAAATGTTTGGAAGGAGAAAATTAAGCAAAGACCACAACTCCTGCAAACTGTTCTGAATTGGGGTACCAGTCAACAGGAGTCTTCGTTGGATGTGATAACTGCACCCAAAATATTTAAGAATTAGAGAAGAGAGGATCTAAACCACCTGAAGTGTGGTACTACACTATCATGTAATGGATTGACTTAACCATTGAATACTTTGATCGTCTATATGTTATGAAAGCTATCCATTTTTATTCATTATATCTCTTTTCTAGTTCAGTGCAGTCATCAGAACTGTTTAGAGTTGTCCTAAATAAAATAGATGGCTATCATAACCAAGAATTTTAGGGAAGTAAACATATTAATCCATGTCATCACTATATGTTGGGCAGAATCATACCCATTGTCCAAGGTTCTTGCCAGAGCAGACTCATGGTTTTTCAACCGGTGCCCTTCATCCACAATCAAGTACTTCCATTGAATTTTCTTGAGAAATGCTTTATCTCTCATTATAAGATCATAGTGAGTCAATAAAACATTGAATTTCCCCTCCCCTGATAACTCTTCCTTCATTGCCTTCCTCTCATCCAGCCGTCCGTCATAAAGAATAGCTGTGATGCTAAATCAGAAAGAAAAAGAACACGTGATTTGAGTTTTGAAAATTAAAAGCGACTATGATGATGATGTGCAAAATTCACAAACATATGCATATCTCCTCTCCCCTTGCGAAGAGGGGAAAGAAATAATTTACAATGATTGCTCTGGGCATACCTAGGAACCCATGTTGTGAATTCATTGACCCAATTTGGCAGAACTGCCTTTGGAGCAACAATCAAGTGGGGACCGGTAACACCCTTGTTTTCCATAAGATATGCTATAAGCGAAATTGTTTGTATCGTCTTCCCAAGCCCCATTTCATCAGCCAAAATTCCATTTAAATTGTTATTGAACAAAGAAAGCATCCACTGGAGCCCCTCTATCTGGTATGGTCTTAACTCTCCACCTTGAAGAATAGATGGTTGCTCAGTCACCTGTAAGCAACTAAGTTGGTTATTTTCCATTGCGGTGCTACAACTTTTACTCAAACAACTACTAAGGAGCGACCTTTTTATTTTATTTTCCTCAAAAGAAGAAACTCAAAAAAATAGGAAATTATACAACACATTTGGAGGAGAAGAAATCCTCCTACACACACACACAATCAAGAAAACAAAGAAAATAAAATATATCAATGAAGCACAGTTGACATTTCCTCCAAACCCCCCTTGAAAGATAATGTATTACACCAAATAGAAACGGGCGTCTAATTTCCCAAATAAGCTATTATGGTAAATGTCTAGTAAGAAATAAGTTTAACAAAGCATGAAAATTGTGTTGAAAAACTTTGTATTTTTTCTCCAAGAGGTGTCATAGGTACTGACCTTTTCTTGAATTGAATGTATGGCAGAATTGTATTGCCGCTGACCCTCAAGTAAATCACTGGAATCACCATTATGATCAGAATCGATCATATCGTCTTCATCAATAGGTGACTCCTTAGAAATTCCATTCTTTTCTGACTCTGGTAAATCTGCTTCAGAATCTTCCAATGGCTCAATACCATCTGAATACTTTTTGTCTTTTTGACGTTGAACAGCTGCTCCTAAATTTACTAGTAGTTTATTTGTTTCTTCAAGAAGCAAAGTTAATCTCTCATTCTTACTCTCTTTCACCATTCTCATGTACGCTTCTTGATCATCAGCCTTCAAGGCTTGGAACCTCAATTTCTCTGCCCGAGTTGCTCGTTGTCTTTGTCTTCCATGCCATGCCTTCAAAAGTATTTATGAGAATAAAAAATATTATCTTAACCCACGATGAAGAGCAAAAATTTCATCTAAAATGAACTGTCCAGGAACTGAAAAGGACACAACATTAAGCTAAAAAAAATCTTCATCATATTTCCGAAATAAACAATAGTCTAAGGAGTAAGAACTCTGCAATATAACTAGTATACGTGAGCATATAAGAAAAGTTATCTGTACAACAAATTGTACAACTAGTATGAGGTGTGATCAATCCTTTGTCTCCTATGTTGATAAATATTGAGAGGAGATGGTCCTATTAAATTACCAGTTGGAGAATTATTTTGGATTTCTCAAACAGAAGACTCACAATGAACATGATGGATTGAAGGATGAAATGGGTAAGATTTGTTTAAAAGAACTGGAATCTTGCAAGGAAAAAGAAAGTAAACGGGTTTCCTCAAAGAATGTGACATCAATTGATACGTAGTTTCATCTAGTAACCGGAGAATAACATCAATAACCCTTTAGAAGACGTGAGAAAAACACTTTTGATAGTCCTCCAATAAAGGCTGAATATGCCTGGAGAAAAATCATGAACAAAGCAAGTACAACAACAAAAACATGAAGAGATGTGATGCAACGACTCTTCTAGAAAAATGGTTGAATGAAGGATTTTATTTGCAAGAGATGAAGAAGACATCCTATTTATTAGGAAGGTAGTGAGATCCCCATCACCCAAATGATGAAGAGGAACATTAGCCTTGAGTAACAAAGTTCGTGCAATTCAAAATAGATGTCTATTTTTTTCTTCTTGCTATTCCATTTTATTATGGTGTGAGTGAACATGTGAACTGATGAAAGATTCCTTGTGAGGATAAAAAGAGTATAAGACGTGAATTCTTTAGCATTGTCACTTAAAGAAATTTTAATTATTATTCAAATGGATTCTTGATCCCATTAAAGAAAAACTCGAAAATAGACAAAAGTTGAGATCAATCTTTCATTGAATATACTTAAATACATCGACAATATTCATCCATAAAAGTCACAATATCTAAACCCAAAAGATGTTACACTACTTGGACCCTAATGATGTGTTTGGATATACAACTTTAAGAGGGTAATTAATTTTTATACAGAATTTGAAATGCTTTATAACAAAATATATTTTGGATACAGTATTTTTAAGGAAATTAATTTTTTTACGTTTTATGAGTAATTGGATTATCTAAAATTAGAAAATTTTAAATTCCACAAAAAAAGTAACAGTTTAAAATTTTTCATACTCTCAAATTCAAATTCCTGTGACTTTTCTTTGTGTTCTCTCTTAAATTCGATTTGCGGTGGACTTGACTAAGATTGACCCATTATTGAGACGACTGTTTAGTTGATATTGAATAGGGCCTTGTGTAGTTGATATCGAATAGGGCCCTTTTATTAATGTTAATAAACTTATTTTTTTTTTCATTTAAACTGTTAAAGATTGTTTTATTTTTATCTATTGTTGTAAACAATTGTTATTTCTCGAACGATAGCCAAGATTTTCTCTAATGAAATCAGGTAGACTATGTTTTTATCGATGTGAACTAGATATTTTCGGTTGACAATAATTGTGGTTATCTTTTTGTCAATGTCTGCAGTGATTATAGTTTTATCATCAACACCTATGTTTTGCTTTGTCAATAATTTCTAAGGATTTTTCTTTCAAATGCTGACTAGGAAAATTTTTGGTGAACATTAATTATGATTCTTTTTGCCAATGTCAATTGGGAGAATTTTTAGTTGACATCAATTGAAAAGTCAACAAAAGGACTCCAACCAATAGCATCATAAAATTAATCCTAATTGATGTCAATCTAAATAATTGTGATTGAGAAAAAACTTTATCGGTATTAGTTGAAAAAATCTTGATGAGCTTTAACCGAAAAATAACATGAACCAATATTGACAAAAAAATATCATCAATATTGATGTTTTGAATTACTAAAAATTGCTTCATATATAATTTTTTTTTTTGGATTTTGGTGGTAATCGAAATATTTTATCCAAATGAAAAAAACTCAAAAACAGTGTGAAATGAGATCAATTCAAATTCGATGTATTTAAATGTCTCATAAATTATGAAATTCACTACACAAATGCAAAGTAAATGTCTAAATAGATGATGGAAAAAACAGACTTACATCTTGTTTCATATTGTTTAGGTAAGAAGACTAAATATGGTTGTGTAATTGACATGATTCACAATCTGATACACGTAATTTGTTCAGACCAAGAACCATTTTCAACTTTAATAAGTTTGGACGTCCTATGTAGTCATGAAGAAGTTTTGGAAATGGAGCAGCAAAACAAGACACATAAGGAGTTGTTTCTAGACAGTAGAGACCTTGATATTCATGTTATACACCAATTAGTCAATCTATACCACATTCATATATGACAAGAATAAATATAAAATGTTCCAGAACAATTTATTAGGTCAATTGACTTAGAGAAATGTTAGATGTTAAGTTGTGTGTTTATGTTAATTGGGCTTAGCCCATTCTGTATTTAGGGTTTAACCCTTATCTTACATTATAAATAAACTGTGTTTATGTTAATTGAGCTTAGCCCATTCTGTATTTAGGGTTTAACCCTTATCTTACATTATAAATAAACTAAAATATATGTATGCTAAACACATACATTCTGTATTTAGGGTTTAACCCTTATCTTACATTATAAATAAACTACCCTATGTGTATGCTAAACACATAAGGGAGATTTCTCCTAATCTTCTCTATTATTTCACAAGAAACAAGATTGAAAGAACAACAATTAGGAATAGATATAACAAACTTCAAATTTAGAGGAGAAAGAGAGACTTGACCAATTCTTTTGGAAGCAACCTTATATCTATTTTCCAAGGCAATAAGATAAAAAAAATAGGAGAAGACAAGGAAGAAAATAGAGAATCAATAATGTGATCAAAAGCACTTGAGCCAATTATCCATGGACCTTAACTATCCATAGATTGACAAACGTAGGTTATTGAAATCATAGGTGTTAAAGATGCTTGGGCTTGGTTGTTGGACTTTAAGCAAAGATACTCTGATATTCTTTTTCAGAGAACTTTTTTTCCAAACGTTCGTAACTTCGAAACATTTGCTACTTTTTTCAGGAAAATCGGTCAAGGAGTAGCATGTTTTTTAAGTATGACGCATTCTCTTACAATAAGAACATTGAGAACGACCACCTTTTCCATTCTGCCCTCCTCAATTTCCACATATGATTTATATAATAAATAAAAAATAAGAGAAGAAAATTGTACCTGGACACCATCATTCCTCTGTTTTCTCCTCTTCAAAGAAGCTTGAATTTGTAATTGGAACTCACGGACAGTGTTGAGTATTTCTGCAAAAAATTTCCTTGTTCTAGTCTCTATATGATTTTTCTCCTTTTCTTCTAATCTTGATAGTCTCTGCATGTGAGAAACTAAATGAGATGAGTTGTATAGAGTAGTTTCATTTTATATTCAAACCACACAGACATCAGGAAATAGAAATTGACACACTACACCTGTGTCTTGTGTATTTAATTAGTACAAGTATGGCTGGTGATCTATAACAATTGAAATTCCAGATAAATTTATATTCCCTGGTCTCGCCATAAGCATTTCTATGTGAATTTGTTTGTCCCTTTTCCTAATTTGTCAACCGTACTATTATTGTTCATTTGGAGAATTAATTGATAAACAACTGACAAATTACAAAGTTTTTAATAAAATAAAGCCCGTTTTGTTCTTCCTTTGCCTATCCCAGGTGAAAAATGTTTATTATATATTTCATATTTACAAACAGATAATATTGGATTTTCTAGTCAAAGCATAAAAGAAAACGTAAACTCATTGCATCAATGAAGCCTTTAAATCCGCAGATGTAGCTATAACCATGATATCCATGGTACGAAATCAGCTTTAAACACACAAAAGGAAAGAGGGGAACATACTTATCACTGTAAAACAAAATTACCTCGGCCTCCCGTTTCTTCCTTAATTGATCATCAGCATCCATGGCAAATGGATCTCCAACCCCATATAATGGACGACGCAGCCTCATCATGCCCCAATCAAACAATTGCCTGTCCGGATAAGCACACTTAGCATTGAGCCAGTATTCAGAACTCACATCAGTACGAACCTTCATCTGCAACTCTGCAAGCTGCCAGAAAATAAGTCCTTGCCAACAAGGACACAATTATTTGTCATTTCTCGGTTGCAGTTGATAACGAATGTAAAAAATCAACTAATTTCCTCACTGTAAATTATTTTCAACTTTCGTTACATTAAAGAGTTAGCTAAAATGGTTATTATACCAGTCAAACTATGTCGCACTTCAGGTGCATCAAAAGAAAAAGCAGGACAACTATAAAAAATTAGCAATCAATTTGTGAGAGTTAACTATAAAAAAATTAGCAATCAATTTGTGAATGTTTGGTAACGCTTCATTAGACATGACTCACAATAACTAAGCATTGTAGAAAAATTCCAGAATCAATTTTACCTTTAGTCCATAAAGTTCAAGCAAGCATTTTGTCTGCAGGTCCTCTCCCCGGCTTGAAGGCAATTCTGGATCAACACAGTAATACAGTTCTTCAGTAAAATAGTCAAAGCTCCAACTTCGATACCACTACCACTTAATGTATATGGTCATATCAAGAGACATGTTCAGAGATAACATAAAGCCACTTCAAAACACTACAGTTAAGTTTCAAAACAGATAGCTTCATGTCAGAAGGATCCTTTAACCTATTCACCCTCTCTAACAAGCTTATAAAAATATATTGGCAAATATAAGTGTTTCTATGAGGTGCTTGATGTGTCTTTCTAGGTCCTAAGGAGTAGTGAGTTGTTTGATCGAAAAGTGAAACAGACTTTCCTCCTTGCTGCAGCTGATGTGATGAAGCAACAGACACAACTACATCATCCAAATCTGGTGAGTTGACTCAATTCTTCTCTTGAAACACTAAATAGGCGCCAGATATATAAACTAAAGGTATCTAAACCAAATATAGTTAGCTACACTACATATGGTTGACTTGAATTTCAAGCCATATACATGTTTTTAAACTACACTCTACAGTTAATACACTCAGATTTAATTTGTTTATAACTTCATACATCAAGAAGATAAACATACTAAAGCATAACTTTTGTAAGATCTTTGATACCAAATACAACCAGCTAATTGAAAGTTTTAATGATTGATGGGACGAGAATGATTCTTTCTCAATATATTTGATGATTGTAATGAATTGTTGTATAATGGTCAGAAAGTAATAAGACTGAGTTATGAAACTTGCTGCCTCCACCCACTTTTCTCCTCCTGACAAAGCAATCATCCTAACCACATAAACTTTTTGAAATATATGTGCCATAGTTCCAATCAGTTCAATAAACGGGCTTGCACAAGCCATACCTCTAAAAACAATCAATAGTATAACAACATTATGCAATCACATCAATCACTGGTAGACGAGGATAGCTACATGAATCACATGTTATCACTTAGTTCGGTTAATTCCCCCACTAAGGGTAGACAAAACAAGCACCAAGAAACTATTTACAAATTATATCCAAATTCAGCACCAAGTCAACACGGAAACAAGCAAACAGATTATAAATTGAATCATTCACCTTGAAGATCATTCAATCGATGCTGAATCTGACTTCGATACCGACTTTCCCTTGCTTTCTCTAGTTTAAAACCAGACACGCAGTTTGGACGCTGCTTCGACAGTGCATCTTCAAGATCCAATATCAAGTCCTCTCCAGAATTACCTCCATCATCCTACAATTTCAATAACAACAAGTAAATTCTACGCAAAAAAAAAATAATAAAAATGTAGCGGCATACAATACAACATAACTGAGCTATACGAACAGTCTAGAAGCAAACGACACCAGAAGTGTACGGCTAGGTAAACTGTAACACAAAATAGAGCTGAACACATGAACGACGGAACCGAAAAGGAAATCAACGTTTTGCACATTGACTACACGAGTGGCGACGTAGCTGGCGAGTGCACAAAATTCCAAGCGCATACACACATACGAACAAAACAAGAAAGTGCGAAGAGCAAAAGAAACGGCGAAACCTAACGCAAGATTAGCGAAAGGAGAGAGAAAGAGAGAAAAAGAAAAGAGAAGAGGTTACATGATTGCGGTAGATGGAAGAGACGGAATTGAGAATATGAGGAGGGAGAGGGAGGTCGCGCGAGAGAAGGTTGAGGGCACAGATGAGTGTCTTGGCGTGGTGGCGCTCATTCTGCGTCTCCTTCTCCTTCTCCTTCTCCATGGCGCGAGCGAGTCGCAACGGTCCCTTATTCTTTTTTTTTTTGTTAACCAATATTTGAAATTCTCAATTACTCTGTGACTCTCACTCACCACACAGACAAAAACGCACTCTATCACGCCTTGTCTTGTGTTTACTCCGCGAGACAAAAACCCCTCCCTTCGCCTTCTTTGGGTATGAACGTATTTGGGGACGAATTAAGTTATATGCTACCAACGCGGCACTCCTTTTTTCCTCAACTCCAAACGCGCCTCTATATTCCGCAAAGACCTTTTTGCCCTCCTTTTTTTTTAACATGCAATATTGACCCTCTTTCAAATCTTTTTAAAAAATTGAATTTTACTCAATTAAGTACATGGACGATGATTGATTCAGTTACTTATTTAATTACAACATTTTTTTTCAATTCTAAAAAACATAATAATTTTTTTCTAATTAAAATTTAAATAAAGTTAAATCCAAATAATGTTAATAATATAACTTAATAAAAATTAAGTGAGTTGTTAAGTAGTCTAAAATAATAACAAATTTTGTAATATAATAATATAACTTAAAAAAAATTCAATGAGTTAACGAGTCAACTTGAATTCATCATGGATTCAAGTAGGATTTTTAGTAAATTGAACTCAATTTTATAATGACTAAATTGATACACG